CGCCCCCCACCCCCCCAAATAAAAAAAAACTTTGAAAAAAACGTTAAAAAACTCCCTTAAGTTTAAGGGTTATCAGAAACCCCCCTTGACTTTGAGATTTTATCAGAAAATTGGGGTGTTTCCTAGTAAAATCTCAAAGTTAAAGAGGGGTTTTTGATAAAATATAAAAGTTAAATGGCGCCCCCCACCCCCCCAAATAAAAAAAAACTTTGAAAAAAACGTTAAAAAACTCCCTTAAGTTTAAGGGTTATCAGAAACCCCCCTTGACTTTGAGATTTTATCAGAAAATTGGGGTGTTTCCTAGTAAAATCTCAAAGTTAAAGAGGGGTTTTTGACGCCCCCCACCCCCCCAAATAAAAAAAAACTTTGAAAAAAACGTTAAAAAACTCCCTTAAGTTTAAGGGTTATCAGAAACCCCCCTTGACTTTGAGATTTTATCAGAAAATTGGGGTGTTTCCTAGTAAAATCTCAAAGTTAAAGAGGGGTTTTTGATAAAATATAAAAGTTAAATGGGGGTTTTGTGATAATCCTGATACTTAATAGAGGGCTTTTGATATTTTTAAAGTTAAGGGGTTTTTTCTAATATTTAGCCTATTTTAATCCAATCATAGAAACCATCTTAAATTCACAACTGCAAATATCGCTAAATATAAGAACAAATACATTGACTGATCAACATCTAGATCCAGATTTCAACGATCCACATCATCATTCAAACCCAGCTTGGACATCTGATTACTCACACAAAGTCTTACCTGATTTAAATTAGAACTAATGCTTAAATAAGTCTTGGCAATTATCATCCCAGTCTTCGCATTTCGAAAATGATAAACTATAGATAAGTGATAGCCGGATAGCCCTATCGCCCCTGCGAAATTTAGGGATGATAAGTGCTAATCAACGAGTTCATGGATGATAAAGTTATCTGTATTTTAGCCAAGAAAAATACTTGTCCTTCACCTTTCGATGCTAATTTCCATTATTGAAAAATCAATTAACATATTGGTGATCATGTTGTATCATCACTATGCCCTATTAATAGGGGTGCATTCGGTTCTGATACGGTTCGAATATGATAATTACCATAACCATAACCACTTTCAGAAAACGAAAACGGATACAGTT